GTTTCCAGCACCCATCTCGAGTCTTGAGTTGCCTGCACTATTATGGGTCAGGACATGCTGATTGTGCTGTCGCGCTAAAGTACGTAATTGAGCGCTCCGCGGGGTGATAGTCCATTTTGCTGCGTGGCGTAGTGGAAGTGCAGCGTTTCATAACGCTTACGGGCTGCCAGTGCAGCACATTTGCAGACCGCACGTTCCGGCTCAGCTTTTCTTACGCGCATACTACTGGACCTGCTCTTGACTAGTATTTTGAAACCTGACCTAGATCTCCACGTTAATTTTCAAGTAACCCTGAGTTTCGTAATCAGCAGGCGGACACACACCAATTGAAACCCACACCCCGTACCCGCAGATATATACATTTGCAGATCGTGTATATAAGGACAGTCGAATTTTTTATTTCCAAATTCACCATTTTCTTATTTCCAGTACCTAAACAGAACTGATTCGCGGCACGCAACCATCATGCTCAAAAAACAATAGTAACTAGTAAAAAAAAGAGCTAAACCTGCCAGAAATTCGGCTGACATCTGTCATTTCTCCATTTTATGGACATTTGACGAGAAACATCCGTCGTAAGATCTTCTTCTCGGAATCCCATTTGTTTTGCAAAATTTGTAGCTGAAGCGGTATAAAATTAACCGACTTTTGTGAACTAGAACTAAAATCCTTCTCACCAGGAAAGATCATTTGGTCAACCCGGCCATGAAAAAGAGGTCAGGGGATCAACTCCCTGGCGAGTTTGTTCTTTTGCCGTTTGCAGTAAGATAGCTAGGAAGACTCCTAACATCGCTAGTCCAACATGCTTGCGTATAGTTAACAGTACAAAGAATTTAAGGGCAATTAATAACGAACTTGGGCGGCATCGCTCCTCACTACTTTGGGCGCTTGTAGCGCAGGCGCCAGGCATTTTTGCTTCGAACAAGTATGATATTCGTAATCAGGGAGTCCAGACTCTCCCTTTGAGCAAACTTCTAGCGAATTCTGAAATTTTGACCTAACCTCGAAAATTTGGGCAGTCACTTACTCACCGATCCACCAATCCATTACAAAAGGCTGGCACTTGGGTAGAATAAACCTTTTAAAACTTTTCATAATAGACAAAAATTGTGTCTGGCTTGCCCGTCTGCATCATCCAAAGATCTGCAAACCATTATTTCCTAATACAACACCTTCTCTCCCCTTTCCCCCGTCGTCCATGATTGGTCAACCC